TTTTTGGGGGGGGGGGGGGGCGGCTTGTACAAGTCCATATGCAAAATTATAAAACGCCTTTGCAAAGTGGATTTGATAGGCTTAGAAAAACAGACACCCAGCCATTAGTAAAGTTTGCACATCGTAAACAGTGTCGGATAGTTTGAAATTTAAGAGGTTAACGTACCTAATGGACAAATGATCAGCAACCTCTCTGACAATTCAAGATAAACTTGCGATCTGGATTGAATAGGTAAATTGCTCGATGGCAAGCGATTCTAGCCTAGCTCTCTTACCCAAAGGTACGGCGGCAGTTACTTTTTGTAAACACGTGGTCAAGAGTGTGAAGTATGTCCAAGGTCTTACAAGGTCCGTTTTACCGTCTACAGATGCATCGCCCTTAGTAGTGGCAAACCAAAGACTAGGTTCCATTTGTTTGCATCACGGGTGGACGTCATATGAAGTGTTCGACTTTAAAGCTATGAAAGTGACTAAAAACAACAACAAATAAGTTTTGTCTATAAAGGTAACTGTTTACAGTATGGAGACTGATATATCGGCTTGAATTACTCAACGAAATATCAGCTATAACTGTGATTCATAACAATTCTTCCAATGCTGTGAAACACAAAATGCAACTTCAAGTTTAGATGCTAACTAACTCCATGACCATACGTTAGTGGCACCTTTGAACAAATTTGCTTGCAATCTATTTGTAGAATCCACTGATTCGTAGAGGCTCATATGGCGTGATTTCGGAGGTGGCAATAACTCCCTGACACTGACGTGAGTGAATCACATGGTCAGAAGAAACATTCTTTTGTCTTGCAACCGTTTGATCGTCTCTTTACCAACAGTTCTCTTAGAGATTCATTAAAGTGCCGTGTGCATACCTCGTTGATAGCACTTTAAGAGGCAAATGCTAATTGACACAGAACTAGACTTGGGTGAGGGTTGAGTGCCGCCTCCCCCCCACGTAGTTGAGACACGAAGCAGCTTGCTCCACTCCAAGATAACTATGATCTAATGGATATCGAGAGATATTCCACTGACCGTTTGGTGTCGTTAAGTTGGAATGAAATCAACTCCGTTTCAAGTCGTAGTCGGCAAAATAATGACTCTAATTAGTATGTTGAGCGGCAATTCACATTTTCACGGAACTGGAAGCTATTTCCACCATCTAAGCAGCCATTTCCTAAACTATCACACGCCATCAATTTCATTCGTGAATCTGCAAAAGCTAATGTCGATCGTGGTATTTCCCACATTTCAATGAGAGAAATGACAATTGCTTGACTTAAGTACAAAGGCGAGGTCTCATTATTTAAAATGCTCTGCAGTTGGTATTATTATTTGGTACTCCACTAAAGTACTTCCACGTGATTCCAAGCTACTATGCAATACTTGAGGCGTGTCAGTGAGTGCGATCTTCTAACCAACAGAAACCATCATTTACACTGAACTTTAGGACACTAATCGAAAACCTGGCCAACAGTTTACCTCTGAGTCCGGTAGAAGTTGCGCGCTTTTCATGTTTGACCCCACCTGGCTTCATATTTCAGTGTGCAACTTGACGAAGTAAATGCTCAATTCCATTGAAGAACTTCGGCAGCACAATAGAGAGGATGAAGGTCATCGTTTCAATTCACCCCTGAAGGTGGAATAACTTGGATCATTCCCAAGGCGTGACCCATTTGTCCTTCAAAAAAATTTTCACCCCTCTGTACCCACATTGTCGCTTTCAGTCATTTTAAAATTTAAAAAAAAAAACTAACCAAACACCAACCGAATGACCATAATTCACTGTGATGAGCAGTGGCAGGAGGAAGCGCCCGTGACTCCGACTCTCTCGATGTGTGCCCCCACGTTCCACTTGCATTGGGAGTTGGTCGCTCGACACTTTCGTGAATTAGACGTAATCTAGTCGCCACTGAACCACCACCAATTAGCGCGACTACCTCCCGGGTCGCGCTGCAATGCAAAATGCACACAAAGCAAACTAGTCTCCGCCCCTTGTTATGTGACGACGCGAGCCAACCGTGAGTTCTAAGAGGACTTGACGCCTTTTCGATGGCATAGCTACCAAGGGTTGTTCATGTGAGTTACCTTCATTTTGGTCCACCGCCTATGATGCTGAGTAATGACCGTGTACTCTCTAAATTCATCTTAATCTTTTCATACAACTTCATAAATCATCTAAGCTTGTAAATTGTGCCTCCTTTGATGATTCCATAAACCCCCACTTTCAAGGAGATGCACCACGACTGCGAGACTTTTCCGTGATCAAAACAACCGCCTTCCCAGCTTTCGGGTACGGCCACCATGCTCTCAACCCAATACTGCGATTGTTGTCTAAACCACCAATCTTCATTAAAAACATTGAGTCAACTTCGCAGTTTTTTCCTGCCCCATCGCCTGATCCCTCACGCTCAATCAATCAGGATATCAAAGGCGAATTTGTTTTATGTCGGAAAGCATTTCCACTGCAGTAGGAAGCTATTTTCAGACTAACTAAAAGTACGGCATACACACATTTCGCGGTTCATTGAGCAACACTAAACCACCGGTGATGATTTCAAACAGATTAATATCCTATTCATTGAAATAAGGATTTCTTTATCCCTTGATCGAATAGTTTCAGTAGAACAGAAAAGGCTTTGGTCGCTCTCCCCATATCACAAAAAAACTAGCCACACTAAAAGAACCTTTGGCCTTCGTGGATTGACGGGGCTGGGGTAACGGAAGGGACAAAGATAGAAGCAGACAGATGTGAACAATCAGGGAGAGAAGGGGAGCAAAAAATTGCATAAGCCTTGTAGCCAGCACAAAAAAGCTATCTTGTACATTTGGACGAGGGGAGAAGTGTGGTAAGCATACAAAAATATCAACTGTTGAGCAAAGGAGAGGTGAGAGAGCAGAGAGGCGAACGGACACGAGGAGTGTATGATATCACGATCGCGGCATGAAGTGTCGCCACACACGAGCGGCAATATCCGCGTTGCCCTCACAAATTTCCAGCAGTCGTCTTGCTATCTCCGTGGTGAGAGGCGGGCCCTCCAGCACCACACCGGCGATATCGCTCCTCCGCATGAAGGTGGTCGTATCGAAGGCAACCGCCTGCGCTGCCTCGTTGAGGCAACTCGAACCACCTGGAATATGTACTTCGGGATTCGTGCCACGAAGGGAACATGAGGAGGAGTTTCTCTGCCGCCTTGAAGAATTCACAACATTCTCCTCACCATCAGAAGTGCTTTCCACGGAACTGGAGCAGAACATGACATCAGTGGAAGTGGAAGCAGAGGGTCGAGTAGAGGGAACTGCATCTATTTCCTTGTCCTGAAAGCGAGAATCAGTTTTGTTGACTTCCTCTCTCTCAATTACTGCCTCATCATCATTCTCTTCTTTCTCTTCCTCTTCTTCCACTTCTGCCGTAACTTCGGGTATATGGTGTCCAATTACATCCTCATCGTTGGAAGGAATGAATGGGTCAAGGATTATTTCTTCTGTGGACTTCACCTCCAGTCGGCAAAAGGGACACGTCTGACCGCTGGTCGCGTTCTGACAGTTGATAAGGCAGACTTTACAGAGTAAATGGCCACAGGGCTCCAGGCGGATGTTCTTATTGTTCTCCGTGCATATTTTGCACACCTCAAAGGTAGATCCCATTCGCGAGTAGAGTTGGTGCTGTTCCTCAGAGACTTGGATACGAGCATGGGTGATATTACGCACCAGTGGCGTTAAAATAGACGACTGACTGGGCGTTCCGTTGGGATAGAGGTAGAAGCCATCACGCTCACCATCTAGGAGAGCCTGAGCAAGCGACTTGTTCTGAATAATGGTCTGCAAAATACGGAGATTATCAGTGATGTAGCCAATGGCCCACTGGCCCAGCTTGGTACAGGACAGGCGATACACGTAGCTACCGGGGCCTGGATGACTTCTGAACTTCTTCAGTACCGCCTTCACCTCGTCGTAGGTCATGAAAGCCATGTAGCCGGCATGCATTATGGTTAGCGCCTTCCAGGTCTCGAGAACATTAGTCCAAGGCTGGAAGAGACGCACAAAAACGTCAAACTCGAAGACGGAGACATAGTTGTTGCAGGTGAGATCGATAGTGTTTTGCAGTTCGCGTGTCTCATTGCAATCCAACACTCCAAAGGTGGCGAACAGTCGGGTGCGGAACACCTCCCAGGAAACTATAGACGACTCGCCAAAGTTCTCATGCCACCACTCCGCGGCCTCTCGTTTAGTGATGCGGAAGGCTTCGGGAGAGTATTGGTTGTTAGGAAAGAGAGCCTCCAGATCCTTCAGAATGTGGGACAGAATGAGGGAATACCTGGTGAGTGTTCGCCGGGGCTCTGAGTGGTCGTCATACATCTTGTCCTTCTCCTCCTTGAACAACTGTGAGGTGCGCTCGCACTTTTCGTTAAGATTGTACAAGAACACCTGGAAGTAGGGGGATTTGAAGAGCTCATCAAGACGTCCCTGATATGCGTACATGATGTGTTTCAGTTTGTCGGTGATATCTGGCAGAATATCCAGAAGGTAGGGAGGACTATTTCGAAGCATAACGCGGGGATCTCGACAGAGATTGATGAGCTTCTCTAGGCGCCGATTCACCGACTCAATGGCCTTCTTGTCAGGCCGGAAGAGGTAGTAACTATATAGGAGTTTTGAACGCATGGGAGAGCCGGTCGGATAACCGGAATTCAGAATGGAATTTGCTGCAGCTTGAAAAGGGAGTCTACTCGGATTGGTTGTTGGGTTTAGTGCTTGTGCTCGGTTCATTAAAAGGACCTGGTAAAAAAGGGGAACGTAAAAAGGGTGAGTAATCAGCCAGACAAAGTCCCGAGTTTGCACATGATAGATGTTTGAATTGATTAAAGAATAGAGTGGGTTGTCTTCTACAATGTTACACGCGGAAGGATCACTTCGCACCAAGCATTCACAAACTGTACCAGTACGTCAAAACTAATGAATCAGTACCGTTAAATGGTCATCCAAAAGGGGAGACAGTACAATTGAATGTTCGTTTGGCAAAAGTGGCAGAAGATGACGTGTTAATACAAATGACAAGATCAGGCGAGAGCGCCAAGGACCACAAATACATACAGCTAATAGCTTGAGTGACGATAATATGCAGTCCGACTGGTCCTATGCGACTTCTACAGTGTAGTGATCAGAAATGAGTGACTAACTTCACCGAAAAATTAACAAATGCCATTGGTAGAAACGCTTTTTGTGCATTTGTAAATCACTGGTAATTTCTCACAGTAGAAATTGACATGAATTTATGTTGGTGCCAGTCATGATGCATCTTACCCTATGGTTTTTCCACAATAGTGAAAACGAGAGGTGATGATAGCGATCTACTAAACTGGTAAGAATTGCACAAACCACAAAAATGGTAGAACGATGAATTAACTATTAATAGGACACTGAGACCTTCATGTGCTATTTTGACAGAACAGCAATCATTTGGGAATTGGAAGCGCAAAAAGTCTCAAATGTAAAGGGCTTTCAAACTTCGGATAGGTGAAGAAAAATAAGAAGCACTTTATCATCCTGCCAGTGGGAGTTAACAAACGAAAAATAGAACTAGCTCTGCGAATGCAACTGCCGGCACGGATAAGTATTCCTATTGCCTTTATTCTTAGAATATGACAATTGCCTATCAAAGACAGAGGTGATACTGTCCATTCTAGTAACGCCTAAATGGTAGTCTGTAAGAATGATTTGGAATTTATAGTGGGACCCGTGAAAGAACCGGTATTAGTTTTTTGGCCCTAGATTCAAGTTACGCGTCACCAATACAAAAGAATGGCTTTTTATAAAGCATCTTTTATTATGCTGAAAGCAGTATATGGCGAGGATAAAGCCTTCCCATGAGCAGTAAATTTTGCAAATTGCTCTAAACTTGAGAAACCTTCCACGAATGCTCCAACACAGATAGTCAAATCAGCGACCCTCAGGAGAAAAAGTAGATAATTTTCATAGGTGGCCTATTTAATGGTGAGCTCTGGTATTCCTAGTAAAATATTTCATTTAAAAGATTTTACTAACAAGATGACATTTGACTTTTGAAGTTAAAAGCGCTGTTTTTGGTAAAATAATACGCAAAGGAACTTTATTTGAGACCAGTCGAAATGGTTACGAATGTAAGGCCTTAAACCAAATAAGCAAAAACCACGAAAACTGATGCCAGCAGAATGTTAGTGACCAAAATGCCAAGGCTTGAGTCACCTTTGCTAGACCACGTAACCAGTCGCCTTAAAGCGATATGAGGCCGCAGCGCGCTGCGCAGTTATCTGACCTTAACCCCGTGCCAAAATTAGCCGCATCTTTAATGTTTGCTGAGGCGAACTAAGGTTCGATGCAAAAACTAAAGGCGTGAAGAGCGTATTCTTTAAGCATGACTCCTCGCAATAAGCAGTTAGCGTAAGGTTTCAAATACCACACGTAAGCTAGGATTACTCAAGAGAACAAGGTCCCTACAGAAGGGATTGCCAACGATCAGGGATGGGCACAGGTATGGTCTATAAAAGTAAAAAATAATAGGGAGGCAAAAAAAGTGCATCGAAAAGTGGTTTTTCGTCGAATGGACGAAACAACGGCCGAATAGTTGAAGCCCAGAGCCTATATAAATAGCAATGACCATTTCAAAATGTCAGTAGGCAAAAAAAGTACATGCCAAGACGAAAAGAAACACATTCTTGGCGCTGTTAATTGTCGCTGTGTGCAGTAACTTGCGGCGCGGGCAATTAGGATATTTACCCAGCCATGGTAACTACCAACACAGAAATGCATCGTCGTCATGCTTTTAGCATAAATGACGAACGTACGAAGACAGTGTGTCTCATCAAAAGCAGAGCATGCACTACTCGAGGCACAATTACACGCTAACAAGAGTCGGTGCTGTCCGACTGTTTCGCAACAAGCTCAAATTGCTAAAGTAAATGACTGAGTAAATGTCTTCCAATTTACAAATGCGAATAATGAACGGGTGCGGCTTCGGGTGGAGAAACGGTACATGTACCAAACCTATCGAGTGTCGGGTAGAGAGGAAAAACGCACCAAAAAACGCCGAAATTGTATGCTCACGGAAACAAGCTGAAATGCTAACTGAATTGACACAGAGCTGCGCCCTTATAATTAAGTCAAATTTCCATTAAAAAATTCACACGTATTCAGTTAGCCCACAAAATAAGTACCCTCGCTCCACGCTAACGAACAAGGAACGAAGTGTTAATTCCTTGAATCACGAAACAAACACAAGGGCAGGCTATTACAAAACACTAGTTGGCGAGTTGGCAACAATCAAAACTGCTCAAACGGAAAGGAACCCACACTGAGACAGAAATAAAAAGCAATCAAGGTGGAGCGAACTCACGCTGCATTGTTGTCAATGAAAGTGTTAAGGTAGTATGAAAAAAGATATTGGATTGCGCACACATGACCTCATCTGGAAATTGCTTCCATGAAATCTGCGCAATTTTGATAAAATGCTCTGGTTCCGCTAGCACAAATCAATGCCTCGAGCTATTTCCCCATGGGGAGGTCACAACCATATTTCTTGACCTTAAAGCACTCATAATGAATGACTCGCAATCGCGCGAACATGGTTTGAGAGGAGTGTAGGTAGATTAAAGTCCAGATCAGCTATTTATAACTATTTTTCTCCCAAAGTACATCCTTCCAAAGGAAAGTTGTGGGAGACTAAAATGTACAGTTTAAATATAATAACAACAATCAGAAACTTGTCCATGAACGCCAACATTATCTATCATCATTTTCATTGTTTCCAACAAAAAATTCTTAACGAATCACCACCAAAGTATATAAACAGACGACAGATGATTGAGCACAAAGGCTTTCATTTGCAAAAATAAAACGAGATATTTTTTGTACCATTGTAAGATACTTGAAAATCGTTAGCCAACTGTAAATTTATCTGGCAAATCATAGAGGGTGAAGATATCTTCAGTATCAGAACACTTTAAAGCCAGTCAAAAGATAACCTGCATAGCATGTTAGCAAAAGCCGTTGCACCAGAGATGCGGTTCGGTCAAAGCGATGAAGTGTACTGAATCGCTTCATTGGTTGCAAAAAATCGGAGGCCATTGTAATGACGAAAATTTTTGAGCTACTAGATCGCATTATGAAAACGCGTTAGTGATTAAGGGAAAAAGCTTATGAAAAATGCCCACCATGTGCGAAGTTCACAATGCTTTAGAAATAAGATACTCGTCAAGAAAATAATGCTAGTTATCCTGCCTGAAATTTTGCAGGAGTCTAGTAGTGAGAGTAACAGCTGCTACTCTTTAAAGTTTAAAGCTTGGGAGGTACTGATGCACCATAAATATTTACCTAAACTTTCCTATGGAGCATATAAATCCACAAAAGCATTTATGTATGACAGGACCGGGGCTTAAGCGGCTCATACGCAAAGTTCCCTTAGTAGACGAGGCATCTGAGTAAAATTAATAATTAATTATGTCTACCAGTTACAAAATCGGTGACTTACTGATTTTTCCTTGCGAAGTAAGTGCTAAAACTTAAATAAGTGCACATAAAAACACCCAGAACTTTGCGCCTATTGCTTCAACAGTGAAATCAAAGTGTTTGCGCGTGTACCTGTTGCAGTGGTAAGCAACGGGTAATCAGATATCTGAGCGTATATAAAAACCGTGGGAGACAGAGAATATAACAGACCAATCCACATAAATTTGCCACGCTTGAAGCTAATTACAATAAGCACAACCAGGTGATGTAATATGAAACTAACCAACCCATAAATCATCAACAAAACTAGACTCGTGTGCTTAATAAGACCAAAGGAAGTAGGGAGTCCCAGAAGTTAGGAGTTTAGAGTAAGTGAATATGAAACGTACAAGTTTAAAATCACAGAATATTATGGGTACGAGTGAGTGCAGGGAGCGTTCTGGAGGTTAGAAAATTTTAATTCATGTCAACTAATCGAGCCAAACCCTCTGATTAGCAAACATAATCGTTGAAAGCCTGGTTAACGGCTTCAAACCTAAGCTTACAGGCCCAAACTTATAGTGAAGGTTAATGGATTTCGACGTTATGACAACACACACAAGAGTCACCTTGATAACACAACCAATAAAGTAAATAAAGCAGTAATTGGCAAAGCAAATGGTCATTCAGAAAGGCAATAATTTTATCATGCATCCAAAATAAAGTCAAAGAACACCAACCCTGTTCACGCTTCAAGATTCGGATTTACAGAGAATTTCACTGGGCAAGTTTAGAAATTGTGAAAAACAACACTAGTCACCACAACTTATTCTAGGATGTGAGGAACAAATTCCGTTGATTGATAGACCTGGCTGACTTAGGTATACACCGGGGCCAAGTTTTTGATAATAAATAACCCACCCGAGAACTTCCACACAATAATGGGCTACAGCCCCCGAGGTGACCAGTCCTACGATCTTTCAAATAGTGGGCTCACAATGGGTCTCACCGATTTGGGGAAATAAAACAACTAGATTCTACAACACAGGCGCTCGTATTCAAGTAATGAATCAAAACTTAACATCATAATTACACTCTGTGCGGAGTTTGTAAAGATGTAGATGGAAATCAAAACAAAAGCTAATCCTTGATTTGTCAAAAGTATACTCATTCATTAAATAAAATAAAATCTTGGCTGTAATGGAAGGAACTGCTCAAATTTTGAGGTCAGTTTTATTTATGCGGTGCTCAGTGAGCACCTTGAATGTTCTTTGACATAATAAAAGTCGAAAGTAGTATACCAAGCCCATAATAACATAGGAAAAGTTTCTGCAACACTTCGACTTTTTTTAACGCTTCGTTTAGATTTCAAGGGTACTTAAGACTTTGTCTTTGCACTTCTGCCTAGTGGTGTGGTCCATGATTCATGCTAGTAGCCCCAACCCTTCTTTACGTCAGCAATACATATTCTGTCGCAGTATTACGCATTATTTTGTCTTCGGGAAATCTCACGACCCTACACTGATGTGTTGTGATAAGCTGTTTTGCCTAGCCACGTGACTTTTTAAGTCCGAAAGACAGTGGTCTTATGCACAACTCCACCTTCAGCCCAAGCCGACAACTCTCCAGCTCTTCTCTACATTAATAGTATATTCTCCTCAGAGTACTATCAATTGGCACGAATTCAGGAAAATTTTAGCAGCACTACCATCGACGTGCCCCAGAGGCCTGCTGTTAAGTTTAATTAAAACCTGAGGTGGTTAACTTAGACACGCACTGAAGCAAAATTTTCAAATAATTACATAGACCCTCTCTTCTTTTGAGTGTCATCCCCAGCGATCCCCTTAATCAACCTCTTACGTCAGCCACCGTAATGCATTCGGAGCTTTAAATGCTACCGGCGAAACAACAATACCGGCCATTCAAATCCCTTGCACGTGTAAGAGCTTTTGATCCTAATGCCACCAGTGCATTTGGACGAGTTCGCTTTACCTAGAGTTTTGTCCTATCTGTGAACTTTATGGATAGGAAAATGTGAACTTGCTATGAATTACTCAAGACCTAACTATGCGCTACAACGAGAGAAACTAGCACACCAATCAACAGATGTGGGGCCATATGATATAAGAGGAAATTGGAAGTAATTTTACGAAGCAATAGTTCGCATCTATTCCTCACTGCTTGTTCCTCGTGGATGTGGAGGAGACGCGGAGAAGGTATCGCCTGTTCACGTAATCTAAATCTGCATCTAGATACCGCAGGCAGCTCCAAGATGGACTTTTACAATTGATTTTAAAGCTGGTGCAGCTTCAGGTGTTAGTAGTACTGTTGCAACACACGGGTTTGGGGCGGGTAGCCAAAGTAGACGTCATTTTTAACCCTCCTTTTGAGATCCTTTACAGATTTTCCCACCAGTGGCAAATATACTTCTTCCGTGACGTTAAGCTTTTGTATTCGGCAGTAGGAATCAAGCTATTTATCTCTTTGAACCGCTTTCATTAATGTGACGCTTTAGGAGCGTCTTAATAAGTCAAAGCAGTGTGGAAGAACATCTTTGACTAACGCGCCGAAGGGCTGGAGGCTATTAGCATGACCCAAAGTGCGTGCTGTAGGGCCGAAGTACAATCTGCAGACTCCAGTGCCCGAGTAGATAAACACATAATTAACCAAAATACCAAATAATTATGTTCATATTTTAAATGCAAAGAGCTTTATGATTTGTTGCACAGTATTTTTAGTTAATAATTGGAATTTCTGAAAATTCTAACTGGGTTATGCGTTTCGACGGACCAAACCCCAAACTACATTCTCCCATTGAAGAAAGGTACCAAATTTATCTTTACGAACCACCTTATATAAGTACCGGTTAAATTCGAGTCAATCAGTGAAAGTGGAACGAGGTCTATTTCAAGAGCTAAACCAAGGGATATACAATCGCAACATGGTTCTGCAGAGCAAAGCCCTAATAATAAACATCAAATCACAACCTAGCCCCTTCCCTATCCAGTGCTTAGTTTCCAGCAATCCCCTTACTCATTCTTCCGCGTCCGTCATTGCAATATAAATGGTGCATTCAAGAGTGTACACGAGCTGGAATTAAGAGTTATTAATTGCTCACATGGGTGATATGGTACGTGCACCTAACGTCAGAGAAGCGCTTCGACGATTCCATTGTTCCCGGGGTTCCACGCTGTATCGGTCTGCTTAAAGCTGACCGAATTTCCTTGATGAATGTCTTTTGTACTCTAATCGACGTTCGTAGAAGCCTCATCCTAACCCACAGAGCTACTATTGTGCATTAATTCCTCATTGTCACTTGATTCGCATCTCAGTGGTGTCCAGTCATCTACCTGGATTCCATCCGCGGAGTAGGAACTTGGAGGTGCCGTTTGTTAGCATGACTAATGTATTAACATAAATATCTTAGCTTCACAATTATCTTTTCTAAATCGGTTCAGTCTGGTTTTACTTCAGTTATCAATGCTCTCTTTGAGGAGCACGGTAATGGGCAGTTGTCAGTCCTTCACAGCAGGCTTCTTCTCATGACAAATGGTAGGGATGAAGAGCATTGTAGTTCAATAAAGTTGCATAAGAAACTAAATTTCTTGGTGAGGATGCAGTCTATTTGAACTCTTTTCCTACTCCCAGATCAAGCTAGGTAAGAAGAACTTATTATTGCAGATAATGTCATCCAAATACTAGAGTGGCTAAGAGCCCAGACCCGTTACTGCCCTTCAAGTATTGCCTGATTGGCTGCCTTGATTAATGACACAGTCAAATACAATTTGTACTGGTGCTGTTCCCATCCTCATCTTCTATACAGCGCGCAGTTAAGTTTTAGGGTCTAATAAGAGGTCGCTTTCTGCTGCCACCATCTTGGCGTCTCAAGTCTTCCCTGAAATCGTAATAAACCACAGCATTAAGGAGGAAGATTTGTTATTGCTGTACAAAAAGGCTTAAAACTATAAGTGTGACCCCAACATCCCACCACTGAGGGAGAGCGCAATCTGCGAAATCTGAAAAACCGGTTAAACATCAAATCTCTTTTAGTCCTTAAAACTTCCTACATTGAAATAAGTGCTTACGTCGAATTTTGCTTGCTAATGGGTCATTTCGTTGACTAGCTGCACGAGGGACAATTCCTGCATGGGCCGTAAAGGAAAACAAATAATATATGAGTCAATAAAGATAGTTCCAGTAGTTAAACCCTTGAAGTTGTGGTACTCCACACCAGGGTGGGAAGAAATTTGTTGTTAGCGTGCATAGGAACCGGATGGCCATGCCAATAGATGGGAGTTCAGTAATGCTTTTGCGTTTAAATACACCTTTCAGGTAGCAAGTGGATGAATTGGATTAGTCTCATTACCGAAAAAGTTCATCCAATCTTTAAGGAGAAGACACAGATCCCCATAAAACTTTGCCCTTTACGATAAGCTGAGAGTCTGAAACTGGAGGCAGAAGAGAAAAATGACCAAACAGTTGAGACGGAAACTGCGGAGACTCGAGGATATGCTCGTTTATGCGTGTACCTAAATATAAACAAATCATTGCAAATCATTGAACTTTTGGTATTGGCGTATGTGTTCATAGCCACTTCACCTCCAGTGCATTTCAGGTGTTCTTTTCATCCAATGCATAAGTGTGGACGTTTTCGAGCTTTATAATACCGCATATGATTGTCACAAAATCATTTCTTTTCAACAAGCACAAGCCATTAGGCAGAATGTTTTACTCTTTAGTTGATATATTATAGGCTGTGAGTTTTGTAATGTGCATTATTTTGCGAATACGGAATAGTTACAATAAGCTACCTCTAAAATAACTGATGTAGTTTTAATCAATAAGCTGGTTAACAAGAGTCGCCGGGATCTCCTTGGGAGTGCAGCGACTACACTTATCGCGCGGCGTCCGTTACAGCACTCAGCTGCGGTCGTGATGGCTGCGTTACTGTCTCAGCTGTTGGAAGAAGTTTGTTACCTCTGATTGTTTATACTTCAAGGGACCAAAAGATACGAGTAAACCAGACCGATTGGATATAGTCCCTGAGCCGGGCATATGCGTCAAGTTAAAATGCGAATCCGGTAGCAAGGTCTTCGCTAATATATGCACCTCTGATAAAGTGAGTCGCGCAGCCATTTTTATGAACAGGTTCCGACTCCAGAAGAAATTACGGAGGAAGCATTGGTAACAATGCTCGAAAGTAAGGAAGCACCACCCTATCGTGTTCCTTTGAGCATTGGCGAGGCTCATTGCGAACTTGATAATGGTTTGACTTTTTTCAAAATCCCAACAGTCTTTACTAGCTGGCAATCCTTGTTCGGCCTATGATGTGGTCATACATCCAACATTTTTGGGGAAGATTAGATCTTCTCAAGTTTTTATGGGTTTCTTGATCACTGCCGTAATTGAATCTCTTGAGTCAAAGTTCCAGCTGTCGCTATGCCGAGGTAAGCGTTTTCGCTTGTCTATTAAACTATGCAGATTGGGTTGTCTTGAAGAACAAGAAGTGTATGGGTGCACTGCAAAAACAGTTTATCCGAACCAAGCTCCGTCCCGCAATAATTGAACTAGGTTCGTCGGGCGGGTATTTTTGCTATTTTTTCTTTCATCTTTTAGTACTTCGGGTACTAGTGCCGAGATAAAGGAAGGACCGATGAAGTATATCATAACAAAATTTTAAAGGTATCCTTAGGCCAAAATCAACTATTCCAGATGTTAAAATGTTCGGCGTGCCGGACACGGATAATCCGGAATTTATAATAGCAGAATTGAAGTTGCCTGAGCTGGTAAGCCCTTGGTAGATTTTATTTCTTAAGCTACTTATTTAAGTTAGATTTCAACGGTTGTATTTTACCATTTACGTCGTCACTTCTTATCCTTGAGCAATTGTGCGCCACTAACATTAGTACTTTTGATTTTGCCAATTATATGTTATTAAAATTTGTGCATTCGGCGGTAGCGCTAACGGAATTTGATTAACTATCGTAGCGTCTGAATTAATCCCCACCTGTGATTCTGGGTATAACTTGGTTGGCCGTATAGGGAAAGGTTGGGAGATTATTAGCATGGATAGATTGAGCGTAGCCCCTAATCATTGTCCTGGTAGTCAGAACACAGGAAACCGAATGGATTGGTGTGGTTACTACTATGCGGACTTTGTAAATTTTTAGTCAAATTCGCGTGGCATTAAACTGGAGGTTGGAAAGAAAGTGCTTGTCTTGCAAACACGCAGTCATACTTACGGGATGGCAGCCGAGCTCAGTTTTCCTGTTGATCAGGCCGGTACCCGAGCAGAATTTAATTTGGAAAGAAAGGTATGTCTACTTATTTGAGTTCAGTGGTTTGTTCTCTCACACTAGATAGGATTCGTCTGTCATTAGTGCGAAAGGAAATCATCTGATATAAACGACTGTCCTTAGTGCATTTAACCGTGCATTTTCTAGTGAAAATTTTAGAAGAATGTCTCATCAATTTTTATTTTTTCACGTCTGCGCCCAACTTCACTTGCCCCAAAATGAAGACCCGTATTATTCTGCACGATGCAATGCTTTTAAATTCCTTGTGTAGTTAAAATTTTTGATTTTAGATTTGTCGATCGTGAAGCACAGCTTGTGTTATAATAAGTCTAAATCTGTTCCTGTGGGGATTATGTTGCACTATAAGTCTGATACTAAAAGTTTCTGGGAAAATGGCCTGAATGGTGTGCATTCTGTTGTGCATTCCTGGGCTCCTAGTACTATTTGCGTGGAATATCTTCGCCCCTCAAGGATGTCTGAATTGGCTGGGCATAGGCATGCTGTTATCCACTTCAAAGCGACTCATATTAAATGTCTGGCTGTTTACGGCCACCGTTTTTTTTGTGTGTACACGCGGCTATCTTACGCTGTCGTGCCTAATGGAGTCCACTGGGGGGCGGACGGCGGACTGTGTACCTCAGTAGGCGATTCGTCCCAATTCAGGCACGCTAAAGTGAGTGCATCTACTTTTTCAACTATGCGATGGTGGTACTGATGACGGTGTAGGTTTTTAATTGCTCAACGGAGCAATTTTCTTTCGCGCTTCATCTCCTGCGGGCGTAAATCACGACGTTGCCTTTCTTGGTTCACTTAGTTGGCTTCTTTTTTTCCATATCACACGATTACGTATGCTTGGCGGTAAATAGAACGATTTCATTAGTATTCGTTCACTCAAAATCCAATAAATTCCGGAATTATCGTGTCTTGAAAGGTTTACCGTAGTGGAATGGTTAAAATCGGAGTCTGTAATGGAAGCAAGCTGATACTTTGCTACATGAGGGACCTCACGAGCGCCAATCCTAGCTTAGGAAAATCATGAATGTGAAGTGATACATAGGAGCTTAAATAATTTGAAAAGGAGGCTGCGTAGTTTCCAAAAGTCTTACAGTAATTTTTTTCGATTGTGGAGAGATAGGCCACTTGTTGGAACGCCCCTACGCTCTGATCCCACTGACATCGTATCCATACATCGGACATTGATTGGTAGACCCGAAGATCGCGCCCTTGCATGTGTCTAGCGTTGCCATTGGCGACGGTTTGTGTATGTTGGCTTGTGCAAACGTGTCTTCTCGTTTGTACCCTCTTTTTCCTTGTCCCCATAAGCTGCATCAGCTTCCTTTCTCCTCCCCTGCCACCAGCGAGGAAGGGAGGGGGGACGAAAACTGGCATATCGATGCCATAATTCACTCTTGGTTATTTTACACTAAAATAGACGTGCACTGACTCATGCCTGTTATCCCTATCGTAAAAGCTAGTGTGCTTCTATTCACCACTGTCAGTTCCATTGGCATCTTCTACTCCAGCGTCTTCACTCGAGGTTGCGTTCTTTCGATAGAACCTTTTGCTCCAATAGCAATCGGACCTTGAACCTGGAGGGATAATGACCCCTTGAATTTGGTCTGAATCTCGTGATCTTGAAATGCCCTGAGACTGTTCATCACCTAGCGTTTCCACCTTGTTGATTCCAAAAGGTTTCATTTGGTGCGTGTTACTTGGGTCACGTACGTTGTTGGGCCACATTATACTTGTTCGCAGATCCTCTCAAGATGTAAAAGTATGTACTTGTGTCAAATATTTTACTACATCGCGTAGATTTAAATTAAGCACTTACGAAGCCATTTGGTGCTGGCTTAACAACTACATAAACTCACTAGCTTATTTTTTAAACAAACGATGGATGTTTCATCCTTTAACATAGTTTTTCTACGGATATGGTTGACCTTAGTCAATCAAAATGATCATTGTGGCATGTGATGGTATGATCGCAAAAGGGGCAGGGATTGTCTTTTTTCCTTAAGTATACTGAACCAAAGCTGATTATACCTTTTCAAGATCGCAATGTTTTGTATTTTATTCATGCCCATTTGATGAAATCCTTACATTCGTGCACTCGTCTTTACCTTCGGTAGATTTTGACGGTGACAATGCCTGTGCTCCAATCAGCAGCTACTTAGGACAAGCACCTGCGACCGCTGTGCGTAACTTACCTCGCAGATTTTTATGTATTTAATGGATTCTTTTACGTCCTTTGGGGTTTGATATTTATGGTTAGGGCACGCGCATAGAACAGCAACGGTTGGTTTCGTACATATCTCTCAAGTTCTGTGGCTTAGCTTCAGCCGGAAATTTTCGAACCGAAGCCTCGGGTACTTGAGATTGACCAGTGAGAGCGATTCGAGGTAGGTATAGTTTCTCAGTGCAAATTACGTGAGTTATGTACCCATGACTCGGGTCATTTTCTACATGTCGCACCCTTAAGAAATATGTCTTATGTTGAAGAGATTCATCAATAGAAAGCGTTTTCTTAGTGGAAGCGACTTGCCACTACCATGTGTCTGAGTGCTTTTATGTGACTTGGGAAGGTCAACGCTGTTTTGAGTTTGGTGACGCGCTGAGCAGTCAAACGATAGTTCTGTGTTATTTTTTCCCATGGGCTTCTTGGGGTCTGTCGTCTTTACTACGTTTTTCGCATTTAAAGTGGTGATTTGGTAAACAAGGACTTTAAGGGACTTCCAACACTTGTGATCTTTGTTGTAATTTCGTCACGAAAATTTAGCTAACTCCCCAGTCGTGATACGCTTCCATAAACATAATAATAAGTGTTAGTAAAGGAGGATTTTGCGAGCGAGGTGCTACGCCTTGTCAGTAGATTTTGGTGGTAGAAGCATTAACTTGCAGAAAAAGCATCAGTCGTGCGTTCTTCGGGAATTCACGATGCCAGTGAGAAGCTTGGTTGGAGGTGGTCTGTTGGGCAGGAAACATCTCAACGAGTAAACCTCTGACCCATAAGGAAAAGATTAAGGGTGTGGCGCACTACTTTCCTGAAGTAGGGTAAAGCCAGACTGCTTCGGTAAGTGGCCATCACTTGGTTGCCAGATGAAATGTGAAGCGGTGCGTTTTAGCGTGATTCGGTGGCTGTACTTTTGTGTCCATTGTTTGTGGAGAACCGTGGCGTGTGTGTGATTGGCTATGCAAGCAACGATGTGTATGCTATGCTCACCTTCCGAGTTGAGAAGTGGGAAGCTAATGACTGGACTACTCTCTGCGTGTGTGTGTGTGTGTGTGTGTATGCTATTTCCTGATCCAGGAAGTGGACATCGTTTGTGCCTGCAGAAGGGCACCGGAATTTCCTGTTTCGTTGGTGGTGGTGGTGGAGGGTCAACGAAGGCCAGACAGGACCAGAGGACGGAAGGAGCGCTACCATGCTCCGGAAATGCTCGGGCTCGACTCTTTCCTGCATGTAGGGCTTGCTTAAAATACCCTCCGCCTTCGTAGTTCTCCTCTGAGGATTACCTTCAACAAACTCAGCATAATCGATTTTCGAGGCTCACGGACCACTTTTTGATTTAGTAAATCAAAGCAAATCAAAATACATGAGCAACTTTGGATGACTTATAGCGCATTATTGCATTACTAGTGGATATTGTAATGTTGTTCATGTTTTGAGGTCTTCATGCAATTAATGTGTGCCTTTTCTCTGCCAGGTTTAACCTCAGAGGAGGCTCGACCACCACGGCTCTGATGTTTTAACTTGACAAAAAAAAAACTGGAAAAGGAGTGGAATTAATGTCAGATGCGAGTGCGTATCCCATGCGGCGTTTCCAGCGAATGGGTTAAGTCCATCTGTTAATGATGGTGCACCTCACCAAATCGTTTGTGAGTTCAAACTCGGGGTTTCCCACCGCATAAATGTTAAATAGTAATAACAAAATTAATATGGGCTTACAATAAATGAATTATTAGTGGCCCAAGGGTGATTGCAAACACCCTCGGATGCATGGTCAGCTGTGGCAAGTCGAGTTCGCGTCATGTCTATGGGCCGGTGTAAAATACGTTTTCAAATATAAATCATTCTTGTGTTGCTGTGATCTCGATGCAGTTGCTTTCATACGCGCGGACACAAAGAAGTTCTCAAACAGTAATGCGACGGTGAGGGACAGTTGTTTTATGTACGTATGGCCATCCTATTCACTCGTGTGTAAGCCCGGAATGCGGACATGCAGACCATCTTAGTCAAAATGAGGGACGGATATACTGCAGAAGGAGCAAGGAAAGAGGGGGTGACCCTAAAAATTAAGCCGTCGCTGGTTGTCATGTGTTCGACTTCCTGCCGCTCTCAAAATAGTGACATTCAACCTACAGCCTGGAGTTGCTTTGATTTTAGGATGGCAAATTGATGAGGCCAGGTAGGATAGCAGACGACATCTATTTGGCAATGGGTACTTCTCGGTCAGTAGGGACAAAAGATGGTCCGTTATAGTACTACCATACCGTCCTAGAAGCAAGTTTGGTTCCAAAAAGTAGATACTGTACCATCCTACACTACGGCGAGACCCGATGAATGCCAGCGCAATTTTTGTCCACTCCATCTATGCGGGGAATGCCAATTTTAAATTATCAAAACGAAAGACCTAGAGAAGCATATTTAGGTCTTCCTTGGGATAGGGGCGTATATTTGGAGGAACTCCATAGAAGAAATGGGTAGAAGAATACGCTCTTTGAAGGGCACAGTTAATAGAATACCACTTGCAGAAGGCAACCGAGATACGTATACGATTAAAATACCTGGAAAAACTTGCGAGTGACACCACTGGGATTAAAAACTACTCTGATAGCATCACATCAACCATACGGCGAGGGTCTGGGATTGTTAGCAGCTTTGTTATGGGCTGGAGGGTCTCATACACTTGCTACCGCAAAATGCGTGTCCTTTTTAAAACAAACAGTTGACTTAAGGCTGAACGCTGTATAGAGAAGTAAAGAGCTGAATTGCGACAAAAGAATCTGTGTAGTCCGACTGGTTAGTATTGCCTCATAATGAAATCTCAATGTCATCGTGAGTCGTTTATTACTTGTTCCAATAGCCGAAGGTCAAAAAATTGCAACCGCTTGTAAATGCACTGAGTTTTTCAATTAAAAAAAATTACCTTTATTAATTAATCATGAAGAACACTGTCGAATGTGTAACGGACCCAAATGGAAGGTGACGAACTTAATAACAACTTTTAAATTAGTGAAATCTAGGGAATCCTCGTAAAATACTATCATGACAAAGTCTTTAAATGTTAGTTGTCTTCATGTGATTAGCCATCTATGGGTTTAGAAAAGTCTAGTAATCAGTTGCGGTCATGGGGCTTGATTGCGCAAATGCCAAACGATGGGAGCCAGTTGACAAGCCATCCTTGCGCGAAGTCCGACCTCAAAGCACAGCCGATTTCTTTCAACGGGATTGTTGTACTATTTAAGTACTCTCTTCAGAATAGCTCTCAATCCAACCTTTCAAGGTTTATCATTCATTAATCAAGCTGTTCACCTTGCCCCCTTATTCACTAAAAGCATTGCTAGCACCCGTCGCTGCTCCCAGTTGCCTTATAAATGGGAAGGAATTGAACCCCCATTTTTAAGCTTTTTGGATAGTTGACCAGTATTTCATACTCACAGTATGTAATCGTGCGATTGCATATACAGTAGGACAAATAGTTCCGAAAATAAAATTACAGGGAGCAAACCCACATTCCTCGAAGGCCATGACTTTCCCCAGGCATACACATACACGCACACACACACAGAGGAGTGCCTTCTCGAATTTACGGACACATCAAGAGGGCAAATCGCTGGGCAGGGGCAAGGAAAGGGAGGGAGGGGAGGGCAAAATAAATCAGCGGAGCGCACTGTACTCAAAATGGGAACATTGGGGTTACGTAACTGCGCCTGTTTTGGAATATAACTGCCCCAAGGTGTCTTATTTTGGTGAGAGGTGTACGCTTGTGAATTTGTTTGTGCATTTCTTTTAACTTTTCTACTCCCTTGCTGCGATCATTTGCGCTAATACATTACAATATATGATGACTGGAACTAGATCTTTTAAAAATTCAGCAATCATAGCAGAGCAAAGTCCTTACATAGTTTTGACTTCTTTCAACCCAATCAATTTCACAGGTGTCTTGGCATCAAGCATTAGTTACACCACACATCTCTGAATAGAACTGCAACGTATACTAATAAGCTATTAATGAGAAAGCGAGTATTTAAAAGGCTGTAAAATGAATAGTCAAATAAGGGGTGAAGGCCCGCTAAATGCCAATTCTGTCCGTCTCCATCGTCATTACGTTAGTGCTAGTTCCGTGTATCTTGTCGAATTGCTGGATTACAAATTCAAACTTAATTCAGTTCGTATGATGCTGTTCGCACTTAAATATTTGCGTCTTTCAAAGATATCCAACGGGAATCTGAGCGTCATTGTCTGTTTCATCGCCAAATAGACAACCATGCCGCTTGTAACAACTTCCAGTCTACCGCCTTCACAGGGATTTCGGCTTTAGTGATTACTAAATACCCTTGATCAAAGGCCTCTTTTGTGTAATAAGAATATTCCCAACTTAGATACACTGACTACTTGTATCGGCGGTTCTGTAATTATTCAGCCTCATGATATATAAATCTACTTATCATGCACAAAGCTTCTATCCAAAAAAGTCTAGGAAGGTGCTTCGACCTTTCACAAGACCCTTATTCGATTCTTTTAGAGGTTTATGTCTCTTTGAAGCAGTAATAGACTGTTCATCTAAGAGGAGGATTACCTCCAATAGCCAGAAATTAGTCAAAGATCTGTATACCTTACACAGGCCTCTCTTTGAACTAAATAATGCTCCAAGCCTGTCAATAAAGAATACTGAATGGGGTTCCACGAGCGTTACTAGGTGTGACGGATTAATCCCAGAATTTTACTTCCAAAAAATGTGAATGATCGTGATTGTGTTAAGGCTTTCAATTTTTCAGCCGAACACGTTACATCCACGATTTCATGGACTTCTTTTCTATGTGGTAAGGGCTAGGTCTGATTCATTGACCCATGGCATAAGCCAAAATGCTGATACACTTTGAGGGAAGTTTTAAATCACGATCAAGAATGCACTAAAAGCCTGTGTCTAGCTAGACTCCTCCAAGATGCACT